AGCGTAGCATTTGGGGGGCAACACCGCCTGGTTTCTGCTGCAAGGTGCACCAGAAGCCAAACCAACCTGTGGCCTTTCCTTGCCTTTCTCCTCGTGCACGTGTGGAAGTGGATGGGTGGGAGGTTTTGCTGCTGCTGTCAAGTTGCAATGCTGCAGTTTCGCAAATACAAACACAAGGAGGGTGATGCATTGCTTCAGGATCCCTTTGCATCCTCACCCATGGGTGCAGACGCAGCACGACCCTTCCATGCTTTCCCCTTGCACGGCTTTCTCCTTTGTCCCCAGGAAGGGCACAGAGAAGGGATTTGGGAGAAAGCAGGTTGTAAAACACTCAGCAAAGTTCCACTTGCTGCTTCAGGACTAAAATTAATAGGTGCAACCCATAATCCTCTCTTGGAGAGAGAGAGAGATGCAAGGGGAAAGCAAGAGAAAAATAATGGTCAAATCCTCACGCCTTGCTGTCGGAGAGTCCTGCAGGTCTGGGAAGTTCAATGCATAGGAAATGAGGTGGAGACTCAGCACGTCTGAGGAGCACAGGGCAGGAGTGACCTTCACAAAGCAGGGAGGGGTGTGGGATCTCTGCTCGGGGCTCCTGCACAGAGGAGCTGCGAGGAGGGGGATGAGGATTTAAAGCCTGTTCTATCCACACAGGGAGGTGGGCAGCAGGAAGGATGATGCTGCATGCTTCTCCTTCATGCTCTGCTGCAATGAGGATGTGGCTGCAGCTGTGCACTGCGGCTGCACAGTGCTTTTGGGGACAGCTGAGCTGCAAAATGGAGGCAGAGAGCAGAGGGAAAGGGCTTTTCCAGAAGGCTCAGTGCAAGCCTTATAAGAAAGCAAATAGAAATTGCAGGTGCCTGGTTCCTCTCCAACACCTCCCCTGAGATCTCCATCACCACACCTCAATGGATCCATGCACCCAAGCAGCCATGCATTACAGCAAGGATGTTTCTATGTCCCCCCATGCCCCATCCTTGTGGCCATCCTGCACAGAAGCCATCAGTGGGATGCTCTGGGTGATGCACTGTGCTGGTGGCATAAGAGCTAAAACGCTCCTGAACCTGGCATTGAGTGGATGAGTACAACCAGAATAAAGTAACAGAGAGTGGCCTCAAACAACACAAACCAGAGCCCAGAAAATACTTCCCAGGACCCACACAGGTCCCTGCAGCTCACAGTTCCCAAGGACACGTATGCTGAGAAGCAGGGATTGGAGCACAGAACATCAAGTGCTAAGGATGGGAAGGAGCAGCCGGTGCATCAGGGAGCTCAAAATTAAAGAAAAATTGTGTCTTCTCCCTGTATTGTGACAGAATGCACAGCAATGACAGCAGAGCAGCAAGGTCCCAGGATGCAGCAAGTGAGGATTTGCCCAAATACAATAGCCAAGGGCACAGAAATAAAAGAAGCTACTTACATTCAGAAGGACTCAGGTACTCAGGGAACCCCAGGAAAATGCCCTCACCTCCACTGCCAACCCTTAAATGAGGGCTGGGAAGGGGTGGATCCTGGCTCCAGCCCTTCAGATCAATCAGTGCATTGCATTGCATGCAGCTGAGCTCCCCTGGGTTGGCCCTGCCTTCCCACCAGGTGCTCCATCACTGCTTCAAGCCATGACTCAGCATTTCTGCTACACTCCCCTCCCAAAAAAAGCAATCTATTCAGAAGCAGGTATGCCCCCAGAAGCCGTGTTGCACTTCCTTGCTCTTAATGACTGCTGAATTTGCATGAAAACAGGATCAAAGCATGCTTTCAGGTAGCAGTTCCCACCTGCTCCCACGGCTGCTTCCCACCTGCAGGGCCTGGGCTGAGCTGGGGTGGGGAAACAGAGGCACATCCTCATCCCCCTCCCATCCCTGCAGCAGACTCCTCCATCCCAAACACACGCTGCAAAAAGAACCCAACCAACCAAGCAAAAAAAAAAAAACAAGAAAAAAAAAAAACCCACAACAACACCCTCGCTGCTCTTTTTCTATTTGTTCAGTAATCATATTTGATTTAATTCCACGTTTCCCCCTCATTCTTTTTGCTGCGCTCACCGCTGAGGAATAATGACGGCAATGTGTTGCTATTGCTCTGCCCATGTAGCTGATTCCTTCCCTTGTCATTTCCAGCCCCGTTTGCTTTTTTTTTTTTTTCCCCCATCCTTTCATACAATGACTTCAGCATTTCAGCTTACTCACCTGGAAACTGCTACGTTTCCTGGTTCGTTCTGATTAGATTGTGTCTCACTGCTGAGCCATTTTTAAATAAGATGTTCGCTTAGCACCACCAATTAATTAGTTGGATTTCAGTGCCATTGTATTTTTACATAAGCTTTGAGGGGCGGGGGGGGGGGGAAGGAAAGAAGCTGTTCCTCCCCCCCAACTCCGCACTGATGTATTTCATCCGCGTTGGGCTTTGTGTGAATATCACATATTTAGAAAATCAATTTCTGGCCGTGGATGGATTTGTTCATCCCAAGGTGGAGCTCTGGGGGTGGAGGAGAGTGGAGGACCCCGCCGGGGGATGACACAAAGCCCCTTCTTGTGTCATAACCCAACAAATGCTCTGCATTTATCTCTGTCCCACATGTGCCCAATGCCCCCTGCATGGGCTCTTGCTGTGCCAGCTGATGTGTGACAAAAGGAATTTGCAACACTTCCTTACCCTCCAAGCTCCCTTCCAGCAATGTGGGACCTCCCCATGTCCCTGCCTCAGTTTCTCTGTTGCTGTTTATGGGGCTATTTCCACTGCCAACCACAGAGATCCCAAGGAAATTCAGGGCTTGGATTCACCCAAGTGCCAGTTTACGAGCAGGAAAAAGCCAGGAGAGAGGGATTTATTTCCTCTCCAGCTGAAGAGTGACAAGGACGCAGCTTGATCTAGGACAGGCAAGCTGAAATCCTTCTGCTCTGAAGATGATTTATGGTGTACGTTTTTGCCACACTGGTATAAATCGCCTTGGGCTTGGATTGCATCGGCCACGCTTTCAATTAAGTGTGATCATGGATGTAAATGAGGAGCAGCATCATGACGTTCTCTGGTATTGTGTGGTTGTCACCCTGAGCACCGGTCCAAATCAACAGCATCCCATAAACCCCACATCAGCAGCAGGAAGGGAAGGGCTGGGGCCATTTTGCTAAGGAGGAGACCTGGTTTGGAGGCAGTGATGGCACACCCAATGGAAGTTCACCATCCTTAGTCAACACTGATTTCCCTGCACTGTTGGATTTGGGGTTGGGAAGCCCACCCTGTGTTTTGGAATGGTTTTGCTGGGCACATCACGCAGCTCCAGGCGTGGCTGAGAGCAGTATTGATCAGTCTGCATTATGGTTTCTGAGTAATTCTCAGCAGCCAACAGCTTTGTTAAGAGGCAGATAATGCATGAACGATTCCAGAGGCTGGGAGCTGCCTACGAGTTCCTTCCCATGCAGTGCCCTTCATCCCCAGCCTTGCAGTTCCCATTTGCTGCACAAATAAGGAACTCAAACAAAAAGAGACTGAAGTTTCCCCAACCAGTCATGCCATGGCATGCTCCATGGTTCTTGGTCCCCCCAACCCTTGGGTTTGGTGCTGTTGAGGTAGAAAACTGGGATTGGGGGTGGGTGCTCCTTGGAGAACCCAAATCCTATCGCCAGCATGCAGCTCTGCAGTCTCTCTAAGGGAAAAAAACACCACTCAGCTTGCACCTCTAGACCTTCTTCCTGTTAATCTGCCATGAAAACACCAGCCTGAGGACCAGCAGGGAGGGCTCCATTCTTCATGTGGTCAGCGGGGTGCAGAAACTGCTTGGCTGCTGTGGCTGAACTGATCTCTTTGTCTGGGGCTGGGCTGACCCCCACTCCCTGCACGCTCCCAGTGGAGGGACACCGATGTTGTAGCTCTGCATTGCTCCTAATTTCAGCAGATGCTGAGTTTTCCCCCATTTGGTGGCTCCTCTCACTGAATGCGGGTGGGAAGGAGCCCCCTGGCTCTCCTCCCATGCCCAGCTCTCCCCAAAGCCACCGCAGCCACTGGAGAGCTACTGGAGAAAAGCCCCCGGTGCCAGCAGAGAGCTGCAAATCAGGGCTCGCCATTCGCAGCATATACATATGGAATGAGGTTTATTTATGAAGGGGAAAGAGCCTATAAAGAAGAGTTATTATGTCCAAGAGGAGCTGATTTATAGAACGGCAAACTTCAGGCTATAGCTCAGAGTGGGGAATGACAGCCCCTGACAGGTGGCCATGAATAAATCCCAAAGTTTTCCTGCTGCCGGTAGCCGGTGGCCAAACACTTGGGTAGGCTGGAGGAACCTCCACCTGCCATGGTTTGTTATGGGCATGGGATGGGGAAGAGAGCAGCAGGGCCTGCTGTTCTTTGGTGCAAGCTCTGGGGTTTTGCTTTGTTTTTAACACCCTCAGCCCTGTGTTGATCTGTATGCAGGAGCCCAGCCCGGTTGCTTGCAGCTCAAGTGTCTGCATCGTAATTGCATGGAGCCAGGCGGCAGGGCTAAGTGGGGCACTGACAGTGATTCATGAACCCATTGCATTCCCAGTGACCAATGGCTTCTGACACACGCGTGCAGAACAACCCGTGTGTGCTTTGGTGTGAATCCACTGCCCCTGTAGCTGTGCCCAGTGGATACGCTGCTCTGGGCACAGAGCTGGCCATGGCAACCCTAGGGCTTTCCCAAAGCACTGCACAAACATCCTGACATCCCCAGGGGATGGTTGGACTCTTTTCCCTCTCTGAAGATGGATACAGGAAAGCAAGAACTCTTCTCACTCTGCTTCAGCCACTTCAAGTGCTCATAAACAGCTCCGGAGCACCGCGTGCAGACGGGAAGTTTAATGGCCAGCACAGTAAAGCTGGATCTGGGCACAAATGCCTGGTCCTGATGTTTTTCAGCTCACGCTATCGCCAGATTTATTTGCTTGTAAACCCTCCCATAGTGTAGACAAGGCTTTTTTTTGCGAGCACATAAAGCAGAATCCATAACAACCCAACGCATCGCGGTGCCGGAGCTATCCCACACCTCCACCCCAGCCCCATAGGGCTCAGCCAGGTGACTAATTAACTCCTGAGCGCTGCTGCAATTGCACAGCAGACTGCTTTGGATGTGATTAATGTGGGGTTTATGCAAGGTGAAGCCACGCACAGCCCTGCTTGCTGCCCCCCATCCACCCCGCTCTGTTAGAGGTGAGTGCACCCGAATTTCTCCAACCAGCCATCTGTGAATGAGGCAGACGAGGAAACATCTGCACTGAGCAGCGGATGGAGAGCTGCCCATCTGCAGCCCGTGCTTCCATTCGAGCTAATTGTACCCAAATATCTGCAGAGCCATTTTGCAAAGTTTGCAAAGGGGAAGATCCTTGATTCTTCGCAAACACGGCGCTCTTTAGTTCCGATTAACATCGCGATCCTCGCTGCCAAAAGAGCCCATTCATTTCAGTGAGCAAACAAAAGAGGGGAGCAAGAAGGACTCCGGGCTGATAGCCTGCAAACAATGTTTTCCGTTTGCTAGATCTTTCCAGCTTAGAATGGCATTAAAAAGGGGTCGAAAAAAAAAATGGAGCATTTTTCAAAACTTCGCTTCTCAATTTATTGCATGGCGTCCTGCAGCAAACAGCAAAATGAAATAGGTCCTTGTTATCTTTCCCCCCAAAAAGGAGACAAGCTCTACAGGAGAAATAGATAATTTCTATCTGTTTTTTTTATATGCTTCATAAAATGCATTGTGCAGGCATGTAAAATATATGTGGCCTGTGTAAATATGTTTAGAGGTGTAATTTTAAAAACGGGCTGCTGGAATGGTTGGGGAAAGGCAGCACAGTGCACAGCAGTGGCATCGCCTGGGGATGGTGCTTGGCCAAGGGCTGCTCATTGCTCCTTATTCCCAGTGCCAAACGTTGGCACGTGGGGAAGATGCTCCTGATACCCACCTCGGTCCCCTCCTGCATCCTGTATGGACCCCTCCCGCTCCAACTCGATGCCCCCGGAACCATCTGCCCTGTGACACCCCCAGGGGAGCATCACATCTTGTTCTAAATTACAATATGCGAATGGCCAAGTGGAAGAAAAAGTCTTTTCTGAGCCAAAGTCGAACAGAGAAAATATTGCGCTATGCGAAAGAGATAAGGAGAAGAGCTGTTTATTCCCTCGGTGGCACGAGGCCTGCCTTTGAAGCAGATAAATCTTTGCTGGTAATACAGTACTTAAACCAGAACTGACACCTTTTTATATCAATTGCTGAGAATTGCCTTTGTGAGGCTCTGATGTAAAGGCTGCTGGGGCCGCTCCTTGCATACCAATGCCTCTCCACCTGTTGGCCCACCCTCCTGCTCTGCATGGGAAGGGTGTGGGGATGCTGTGCCCTCTGTCCAGAGGATGCTGCAGCATCTCCAGCTCTTGGAACCAGCACGATTCCAAAAAATCCCCAGCTAATATTGCCTTTCATCTCTTCTTCTGCCTCAAAAACGCCCGCTGGGTTTCCAACCTTGGTGCTGATGCAAGCTTTTGTGCGAGGGCAACGGAGGAGCAATGGAGCCTGCGTTGATACGAGCTGATTTCGTGTCCCTGCAAGCTCCAAGCTCAGCCTCAATGAACCAACCTCCAGCAATCCCCAAGCAGTGCAGAGCTGTCACCGTTGGAGATGCAGAACTGTCACCTTTGGGGATGCTGTCACCGTGTCCCCGTGGGGCTGCTGGCTCCATTCTCCTCATGTAGCATTGACACAAAGCATCGTACAGCAGGGACACGTTTAATTTAGGTGATTATTCCATTATATGGCACACTTCTAAGTGCTACAGGCTCCTGAGAGAACAAAAAAAAAAAAAGGAAAAAAAAACCACAAAACCAAACACAAAAATCCCCTCCAAAATCACATAATGGCTGAGAAACGCTGTAACAAGCAGCAATCCACTGCATAATGAATAGTGCAATTAAAAGTACTTGAAGTGGTGAGATACCTGATTTTATTCAGATCACACAGTTTTTTTGTGAGGTGGATGGGGATGATACGGGACTTTGGAAGACTGATCCCTGCTGCATGGGCTGGGGAAAAAGAAGGAAAAAAGAAAGATTTTGGAGAACAGAAATGAGCCAGATTGTTATTTTATTGTATTTTTGTTTCTAAAGCAGAGCTGAACTTTCTCCATCTCCAGTTTCCTTTCGCTCCCTACAGAAAGATGGGGGGATGGCCTCCCCAGCCCCTCCACCTATGGGTGCACTCCAGATGTGTGTGCTGTGCCACATCTGCATGGAGTCGGACCAGGCAGCCCACACACACCCTGGGGAGCCCACGGAGTTTTCCACCAAGGGAAGGACCAACCCAACAGGTGATGCTCTGTTAATAAATGGCGGAACTTCTGCTGGAGAGCAGCTCACTGCAATCGTGCTGTTATCACAGACATCTTCCTTGTAACCCTTATCTGACTCTGCCCACCCACGGGTGGGAAGCAGGGATGATAATTAAGGCTTTGTAAACCCATCTCTGCTCTCTTTTCACACAACAGAGAGTGGAGAATTCCTGAATGCTACGAGCACCAGGGGAAGAAAAGCCATTGTCAGGATGCAGAACTCCATGTGTTTTATTGATTTTCCTCCCCTCAACCGAAGCTGCATTGCTGCATGCTCTCTGCCAGCCCCGGTTGTGTTAACCAGCACTGCTCTGCTGCTCTGCTCTCCCCTTTGGTGTGTGGCAAGGGGATGGAGAGCTCTTGGACCAGGTGGAGAAGCGGTTGCAAAGTGTCTGCTGGGCACCCCAGTGCTCCCTTGGGAGCTTCGTGCTGCATCCCGTTGTTTTGCAAGCCAGGAAAGCCAAGATTGCTGAAAAGCACAGCTCCCTCGGTGAGCACAGAGCTGGCGAGTTGACTCTTTGCCTTGCAGCTTTCCCGGGAAAAGACAGCATCAGAAAAATCACATTTGATTATCCCAGCTAATATTTTCCCACTCTCCGTTAATTACGGTGATTAGAGCGAATTGCTGCTGATTTGAATCAGATTTATGAACGGGTGCATCGCGGGATGCTGGCACCCAAAAGCTCAGCATGGGGCACAGTGCCCAAGGGTGGAGATTTTCTGCCTCTTTCCCCTTTGGCTTTGGGCAGATCCCTCCCCCTGAGGCTCTCCCCATGGCGCACTCCTCCAGCACCCATTTTGGGGCTGTTGGAAGATGGAACCACAATGGTGTCATCAGCAGGGACACAGGCTGCACAATGCCACATAAAGCTGCTATCATCCCTTTGCAGAAGGAGGGAGGGATGGGAGCCCGGGGAGACACAAGGAGAGGAAGAAAGATCGAACAGGTAGTAAATTTTCAGAATTGCCCCCAAAAAGCATATCTGCTAAGTAAATCCGATAGAGTGGGCTGTCTGTCTACATGTAATGTAGTCCTTATTAATAATGTAGCCATGATAGAGCCTTTTATTGATCTTCAATATATAAATCTAACCTCTCTATGAATAAAAAATGCAATAAGATCTTGGAAATAGACTAAATAATAGCCTACGAACCCTAAATGACAGGGATAAATGGCAGCACTGTGGAAATGGCTAATGGATGGCAGCTGGGATTCCAGTAGAGATACCATATCAGGACATAGACTGGGTCCCCATGATAAGCTGAGCCTTGCTGGGGTTCTGCAGGGCCCAAAGCTCCCAGCATTGCTTTCAGCTGAGGATGCTGGAAGGGCTCCTGTGCTGTTTGAGCTCTCCATCCTTTGCATTGAGCTCACCAAAGTGCCAACCAAAGCCCTTCAGGTGCTCACAGAGATGCTACAAGCACCGCTTGCACTTTGATGCGTGCTCTGCTCTGCCCCATCTGCCTCTGCCCCCCATCTATTTTAATGCCAAACCCAGCCTGAGCTGCTGCACTTCCCCTGGTTTTATGCCAAAGCTGTAAAGGGGCTGAGGCCATACAGCGAGCTTTTCCCATATAGGGATAAATAGCCTTTTCTGTGGGTTTGGGCCCTATACCAGAATTATTCCCCCTCCACGTTGCCCTGAGCATCGGGGATGTTCTCCCACCTGCAGAGCTGGGACTGCAGGCTCTGGCTGTGCTCAGGGAATGGCTAACAGATCCACCCGGGTAACGCACAGCGTGATTATGTTCACATGTCACACAGAAACTTTTTCACAGCTCTCGCTTTTACTCCGTGAAATAACCCCTTTTAGTGTTTAACTTTGCTCAAGAAAGAATTATATCCCCAGAAACACTGCCTGTGCAACTTTCTTAATAGCAGCTGTCAGCATGGTCAGGCATCCTTTGCAGCGGAGACGGGAGATGCAATAATAACAACATCAATAATATCTCCCTCTGACAGAGTGCTTTCTTTGTCAGTGCATTGCAAAATATTTTACCAGACGGTCCCATTTGCGGGATGGAAAGAGCCACGCTTGGCTCTGGCAGCGGAAGGAGATGTGGATGGGGGAGGAACCACGTCCCCAAGGAGTGGTGGGGCCAAGCAGATCGGTGCCAGGCTCTAACATCAACACATCTGACTTAGCATCCAGCCCACAGCTCCTGGGCAAGGTGACGGGGTGAGGAAAGCACCCAATCTTCCTCTTTCCCCTCCCCAAACATTGGTGCACCAGAGCAATGAGGACGGGGAACTGGAGAATATTTATCAGCTCTTTGCAAAGTAAGTTAATCTCGCTGCACAGTGCTTATTGCTGGGGTTATAAAGCCACTCGCATGGCTGCTATTAAATCTAGTCATTAGCAGCATTGGGTGGCAGCCACATCTGAGCCCACTGAGCACTTCATAATGGGAAAGTCCAGAAATTGCCCAAAGCGTGGCAGAATTTTTTGCTACAATGGTTTTTGTCCGCTGCTTTTTGTCTCCTTTGCAGGGTGTGAAGCTGTCCCAGCAGGATCTGGCTGTGCTTCCACACCAGATGATGGATCCTGTTGCACAGCGTCTGCTGCGGAGCACGTTGGGATCCATTGGGATGGAGTGTGGAACATAAACGTGACGGATGATTATAGCCAATGCATTTGGGTCTACTCATGGTGGGACGGATGTGCGTGCACGATTGCCAGCAAGCAGCAGGAACACCTCCCTGAAGCCTTATGGGCTGCAGAGCCCTTTGGATGGTGATACTGCAGTGCTTGAAGTGGGCACTGCTCCATGCAAACGGCCCTGGGTAGGACAGAAGCAGCTCCAGCAGTTGCTATAGCAGCACAGGTGAAGGGCAGGGATGCTTCAAGTGCTGAGCCCTGAGGATGCTGCAAGACACGGAGCTGCTTGGCACCTCCAAGAGCATCCCTGCAGCCAACACGGAGTGCTGCCTTCCAAGCTCTTCCAAGCTGCCTGTGATGCATCATACCCCTAACCCCAAAACACTGCATCCTGGGGCAGAGCAGCAAGGCTCATCCCCCCAGGCGGCTCTCCCTGCTGCGATCCATAGCGTTGGCTCATGGCACACGGTGACAGCTCATTTCACAGGACGGGCTGACTTCACAATTGTTTGCTCAAGGGGAAACCTGATCCAAAACAACAGGCTGTTCTTTTGGAGAGCAAACCTGTGCATTCTAATTCCCATTTGTGCCTCGCTTACTGTGTCTTTTTCTACCCCCTGTGTCCCTTATTTCCATTTTCCAGCCCCTGCATTTGCGGTGCTATCGCTCACACCCAACACTGAGCCTGGGAGATGGAGGGACCCAGCACAAATTGGGGATATCCCACAGCACTGGGTCCCTCCCATGGGTGCCATCCACCTGCTTCAAGCACAAGCATAGTCCCTGTGTGCAGAGCAGGAGGGGGTTTCTGTTGCAAAGAAGAGCTGGGTCGCTGGATATAAGCTAGCTAATCACAGGATATAGCCAGCTCCAGAAGGCTTGGAGCAAAACATCTTCTGAGGGAAACAAATAATGAAGATATTGAGCTTTTATGGAAACCTTTCTGCGTCTCAGAGACAAAAGCCTGAAGCTGTGGCTTTGCTGTCTGCATGTCCTGCAACCAGCTTGCAGCAAAACCCCAATGTCTGGTGGGGCTCAGAGCATTCTGCCCCCATACAGGGACCTGCAGGGAGCCATACAGAGCTCATGGGAAATGGATATACATGGTAATGGTAATACCCATCATTGAGGGCAGCGAGGGGAAGTGGCTGGGATTGCTGGGCAGATAGCAACAAATATATATGTTAAACACATGGAAATAAGAGCAAATAGCAGGGATGGGAAAGCAAATATCGAGCGGGGTCCAGTGCTCAGAGCAAACAAACACTGGGAAATGAGGAGCTCATCTGAATGAGATGAGCAGCAGGAATAGAACAACACTGGGAACTCACCACGGGTGAACTGGGGAAGAGCTGTGCAGTGTGGGGGGGGGTGTATGGGAACTGCTGAATCACAGCCTGAACCTCTGATTGATCACCTGAGGAGAGCAGTGAGTCAGCCCTGGGGGCACAGGTGAAGGCAATCCTTCCTTTTGGAGTTTTCCAGCAAGGGTAAGCCCTCTATCTATTCTTTTTTTGGTGTTATAACCTGCTTAGCCGAACTCTCCTGTGTATTTCTTGATTATAACATCTGTATATTCATTGGTTATTATTGAGGAATGCAGGAGGGCACTGCCGGACCGGTCCAAGTCATCCTTTTCTCAGAGCATCCCCAATGCTTCTTCCTCCTCTTCAGCTTTGCACGTGGGATATTTCTTCTTCCAGTTGTGCAAGGGCTGCAGTACATCTCAGTGCTATGAGAAAGCCTGGATAATGTCTTCAGCAAGGACATCCAGTTACCCATGGGCGTAAATGGCTGCAGGATCAGAGCTTAATTCTATTGAGCGTTTGGATACAGCTTGCTTGAAAGGGTCTGAACAATATTTCTGCATTGTCCTCATTACAACCCAGAAATTCAAGAGAGCTCATTCCCCGATTTAAATCAGCTCTGTTACTTGAATGGAGCTGGCAATTTATTTTCCATTTCTTTTCTAGATTTTCCCCTCTCTCTTTTTTACTTTTTTTTTTTTTTCTCTGGCTGCTGACAAAGCAGCGCTTATTTCCAGGGGAGTTAAAGAGCAGGGAGCTGGGTGAGCCATGTGGGAGCTCGCTGTGCCACTCCAATGCTGTGGTTGCATGGGGAGCTCTATTCAGCATGAAATACTTGGGAGGGGAAAGCAGAATGCGTGGAAACAATCTGCCCCAACCTGGATGCACGAAGCTCTTGTCTCCCATAGCCATCGCTCTTCCCCACGTTGAGTGCAATGGAAGAAATCCATTTGAGGATATGAAAACCAGTTGAGGTTTTCATTAAACCCATCAAACGGGGAGAATCAGTGGGATTTCTCAGTGAGTCTTTGATAATGGATGAGATCTCAGATCTTTCAAAGATGTGCGGCTGTTTGGTTGAGGGTCAGCCCTTCCCATTTACCGAAATGCCCAGCCCCACATTTCCCCTGCTCTGTGATTTTGCATCCCACCCATAGGAGATATGGAAAATAAGAACCATGAATGTCAAAGTTGTGATTGTATTTAGTCAATAATTTGAAAAGAAAGGATTTAAATGAAGTCATCTGCCTCCACTGTTTCATCTAACTTCTCCAACTTCTCCCTTTTTTCCCCAATTACTTGGCAAGAGATTAATTTTCAAGGCAGCGTTAGGGAACAGAAGAGGTGCAAGGGTTTATTTACCAACCTAATGAAACCACAGGATAAATATTTAGAGGCCTGAAGAGAAGGAACACGATAAGGAACCGCTTTTCAGAAGCAGCCACAAAAGACGAACAGAAGAAAAACATTCTCACAATGGCAGAATGCAGGAAAAGGGTAAATCAATTAGTACATCAGCCATGAAAGGGGACGTGGCTGAAGGAAAGTTAATGTTACGAGCAATCATTCCCCAGGGCCTGTTTCTTTGGAGCTTGCAGCCCAACCTTTCCCCAGTGATAAAACCAACCCTGGGTGTGCAGAGCATCCCAACCTCTCCATCCCCCTGTTTTTCATTCCCTTTGAAAGCACCGTGCGCGCACACACACACACACACAAAAAAAATAGATGCATACAGATGTAATCCATCCAATGACTCAGGTCATTGCATCGTGCACCCATGGACACCCATTCAATTTTTTCGTTTCGAGCACCTTGGATACCAATTGCTGGGGTAGAGCCAGCTGCTTAAGCACAGGGAATTGTACGGCGGGGGCGAAACTGAGAGCATAGGAAGCAAAGGGAGCTGAAACAGAAAAATTGCTGAAAAGCCTCCTGGAGCTTGTCAGGAGTATTAACTTAGGATGATGTAGGGGAAACAACTAAGTGGTTTTTGTGTCAGCTATACTGAATCAAACTTGTTCAAATATATGCAGGCGTGTGTGCAGTGAAGAATATAACCTATCTCCGGAATGGAAAGCAGGCTCTTAGTTGGAAGAGGGCTTTTTTGTATATATATATATATATATATATATATTTATGCTTTGCAAATATGAGGGAAGCTTTGCAGGAGTTAGGTTAGGTGTGATGGGGAGCTGCAGATGCGGATGGCAGCGGGGGGTGGGAGCAGCCATTGGGGAACCCCAGGTCTCAAGGTGCACGGAGCCCATCTTCATCCTCACCTGTACCTTCTGCAGGGGCTCTGCAAGCACCAATTCTCTGTGCCTATGCACACAGAAGCCCAAGTGCAATGCAAAGCCAGGAGCTTGAAGGCCAACAAATATCTGACAGTTCAAAGACTTCTGGAAGAGTTTGTGGAAGCAAAAGGGCATCTACTATTCCAGAGGAGCTCTCCCAGAGCTGCTCTGTACGTTGCTGGATGAATATGTTGTGTGCCTTTGCCTGCTTTCTGCTTGGGAAACCCTCCCAGCATCTTGCTTTGTAAGGCATGTGTTTTACAGACAGACTGAGGGCAATTCTTAAGGTGCAGAAATGATTGTGGTGGAAGATTCAAAGCAGAGCACAATCAAGGGCAGAGAGGAGCCAACAGAACCTGGCGTTTGCTTCCCAGCATGGAGCTGTGCATCCCTTTCTGCTCCACCAAACCCTGTGGTGCTCTTGGATAAAGTCTCTCCTTTCCATTCCCACTAAAACACAGATCTCTTATTGCCTGAGCTTTGCAGATCAGGTGAATATTTCACACTCTTCCCAGGCTCTGACTTCTTTCCCAGTGCCCCCTACTGCAGCAAAGGCAAAGTGGGAGTTGATGGTCGCCTTCCATCTTGACTGATTAACTCTAAAGGAGCCAAGACTCAGCACTGGGACCAAACCTACAACCCAAAGTCCAGCTGTTTTTTATGCAGGGTGATCCAGGAGAGAATTTAAGGGGGGATTGGCTGGAAGAGCATCACTGTGGTTCCTGCATGGGAGATGCTCACTGGTGGCACCCAATGCTGCCTGGCACTGAACTATCCCCTCCAACACAGCCCTACAGGAGGAGTCCTCTCCTCTTCCTCGCTGCTTATTCTCTTTAAACTCACTGTTCCTTGCCAATAGAGGCAGTGTCAAGGAAACGTGCAAGCACGCACTACTTCCAAGCACTTCTTTAAGTGCTTGGCTGAATCACAGTCATAAAAACACGCTCTGCAGCTCGGATACGTGCGGGAGGGTGATGCTATTTGCCAACAAAAGCAGCCCCTGGAAGCGTGGCAGGGGGCATAGTGATCCTAAAGCCTATGGTGCCAAGCGGTGAGCATCACCTGCCCCCTCCATACACTCTAAGATGGATATTACAAAGGTTTTTGCTTCTTTCTGCATGTATCCCAGGGGATGTGGGATGATGGGATAACGGGAAGATGCCGTGTGCTGGAATGACAACAGCAGAAAGTTAGGGTAAAACACAACGCTGAGGTTTGCTCGAGAAACAGATGGCTTAATGGCTGTTTGAAGGGCTTTAGGAGTAGAATTGATACTGGTGATAACACTTAGTCATTAGCAGCCTCGTGCACGTGAGGACGGCACTGTGCGAGGGGATGAAGGCTGATTTCTGAGCCCCAGCACTCATTTCATGGCCTTTCCCAGGAGTGCACTGCAGAGGATCGTTTGGTTTTGCTCCAACTCTCTTCCTCCCTGGGAATAACCTTCAAGGAGATGCTCTGTGCCGGAGGAGCAGCGGAATGCTGCTTTGTGACACAGGAGGGGAGGGGAGGGAAGGGACGGAGGGAAGCATAAATTGTTTCCTATATTTTTTAATAACATCTCACCAGCTGACATGTCGCTTTTTGTAGCAATTACGGTTCCAACCCAGCTGCTTAATTGGATTTGGGTTGGACTCGAGGATCCGCCGCCTGCTCCCACCCCGCCGGGCTGCGGGATCACCATCATGGGCACCATCACAGCCCCACCTCCAAGGGATCACCTTTCCCTGACACACAAAAGTCACTTCGGATTAAAAAGAGCCCTAAAAATCCCCAGCAGCAGCATTACGTTTCTTCTTTCTTTTTTTTTTTTCCCTCCCTTGGTAAGACAGAAATTACAGCAAGATTGAAAGCTGAGATCCTAATACGTTTTCCCTCAGGTGTTCTTAAGCTCTGAAAGGTGC